TCCTCTGCTCCTCCTCCTGCTGCGCTCGCCCACCGCCGCAGGCGCCACATGGAGGCCCTGCCCCGCTGAATGGGCAACGCTCCCAGGACCACCACTGCGAGGCGCCCGGGGCCCCGCCGCCCCGGCAGCGGTGTGGGTCGGGACCGAGGGCTCGGGCATCGAGGTCAGAGCTTTCCCGCCTGGGCACTTCGGGGGCGGCAAAGAGGGGGGTGATGACTAGGGGGGGGGTGGATATCCTGGCGGGGGCCATGATATTTCCCCAGATTTCATGGCGCCTCTTCTTATTTCATTACGTCCCTGCCCCCCCCGCTGGGCCGCGCACATGCCGCCGGTCATGATTTGCACCCCCCCCTCTTGGACCCCCCCCCTCTTGGCCGCTCCCGAGCACTGCGCAGCCTCCCGGACAGCCTTTCCGCACGTCTCCTCCCCAGAGCGTGGGCCGCCACACCGGCGTGAAGGACTGCCTGTTCTCTGGGCGTCGCGCGATTGGGGGGGGGGCGATCGTGAAAGGGGCAGCGAGGGCCGCAGAAGAGGGCCCCTTTCAGGGCTCCGCAAGGGCCCCTCTGGAACCCGAATGTGGGCCTTCAGGGTCACAGAAGTGCAATTTTCTTCCCTCCCCTTTCATCGAGTCATCAGCTACGCTCCCTCGTGTGCTCGCTTGCTGCGCCGCCATTACCCTCGAACTGAGGATTGTCGGCGCCATCTTTTAACAATACAACATTATTGTCGTCGATGTTACTTATAGCTTGTTGCGCTTAGGAAACAGGTGTTCGCGCGCGCGGCCGGCCTCCCATCCCTTGGCCGGTAATACCATACACATCTGCGTCCGTGCGCTTGTTTACCGGATATTCCTAAGAGTACGCCATGGCATTAAGTACGTCCTCTCCGAGACTTCGCTTGGGACCACTACTACGATATGACCTACCAGATCATTCAAAACAGGTGCCTGTCAATCGGGTCGAGATACTGCTCGAGCCCATGACGAAAACGCGAAATGCTGATCGTTCCCCCTCATTAGGTGACACACGTTCTGAGCGCCTCGCTTGCCCTCGGCCTCCTGTCTGCGGTCGCCCTCTCCTCCTCCCCCGGCCCCGCGGTGTTTTTTTTGCCGCGCGCGTCGCATATTCCGACCTCGGCCCCCCCGCGCCGCGCGACCGCGGGCACGCCCACGACCCCCGACGTCATGATCTGTTCATAACGTCGACGTCGACCCACAGAGTTCTCGACCCGCTCCCCGGGACCGGCTGCTCATCCTGCATGACCCGTCTTCCGACGCTTCCGAGGCCCGGCGGGGGCCGCCGGAGGCCGAGAGCAACGAACAGCCTTCCGTCATGATCCAGGAGGGGAAAAACACACAGACGCAATGAATCGTCGATCCCAGAGAGAACATGGGAAAAGATGGGAAGTGTGTGGGGGGGGAAGACAGAAACCCAGAAGATGTGGGAAAAGATGGGGGATCTTTCTATCTGTGCGTATTCATTTGTGTGTCCCAGGGCCCCTTCAATGATTCCTGCATGGCCCGAGGCGGTCTGAGACCGCGGCCAAAACATAAGTCGTTTGCTCATCCTGACCCGTCTCTTGACGGCTCCGAGGCCCAGTAGGGGCCTCCGGAGGCCAAGAGCAACGAACAGCCTTCCGTGATGATTCTCGCATGGCCCAACCGTGCGTCGTGCAGTGGGGTTGGACAGACCTACTACCTTGACACGTCGATTGAGGAATTGGCCGTTTTCGGTTTGCGAGAGGGCGTCGCGGCCGTCATTTTAGCGGGTCCAGGTCCGTCGGTTTCGGTCCCAGGCTGTTTTCACGAAGGGGAGGTTTACCAAAGGGAGGTTTGTCAACCGCCGAAATACGCTGGAGGGGGCGGCGCGGGCTGCAGAACAGGGGCCGCTCAGGGCCCGTACAAGGGGCCCTTTGGGGCACGAGAGAAGGGTCTTGAAGGCCCGAGAAGTGCACTTTCTTTCCTCCCCTAAATTGAAGTCGGGCCTGTGCTTCTACAGGGTTCAAAATTGGCAACAAAAATTGGGGATTATTGTTTGAGTATTGTTGGGCATTTTTTTTTTTTTTTGTTTTTTGATATGTTTGGTTTTTCGTCCAAAATCCCCCTGTAGGGGGACAGGCCCGACCTAACCCTAAATGTATCGCCCCCCCATTGAAGCGACGCCGTCCGCCGTAGGCGTAAAGCACGCCCACCAGGTCAGCGGACAACGCTGCTGTGTCGAGAACCCCCGTGTCCTCGATTTCAGTGTTGAAAGCGGAGTTATTTCAATGTTGCAAACGGGGTTGCCTTGACGATCTAGTTTTGGGCGTTTTTGTTGTATGGGCGGTCCGGGGTCGGCACCGTCGAAACAACGTGAGTGGATGGGCGCTTTTGCTACGACAACAGCAGCAGGGCCCCGAAAGGGGCAGAGGGCCCCACTGGGGCCCCTAAATGGGCCTTTAGAGCCCGAGAGATGCATCTATTCCCCCTCCATGTATCGCCCCCCAGTAGTCGAGTAGGAGGTCGACTGCAGAATTGATGTGCCCCAAACTTGATTTTCTCGTCGACACATGAGAACAACACGTAGAACAGCCCGGAGATTTCCAGAGCAGTGTAGGTGTGCTTTGGAGATTCGGAGGGGAACCAATTCTAGGATAAACCGATGATGTAGTCGGATCCATACTCGAATGCGCGGCGAGCGAGGGGGTGAAGTGAGAAGGAGAAGGACTTCTCAGAAGGCTCCGATGTCCCCCGGCCTTCTGAGAAGTGTTCTGAGCCTTCCCCGGAGACAAGACGGCACTTCTCAGAAGGCGGGGGGGATTCTGAGAAATCCCGCCGCCTTCTGAGAGGCCCTTCTCCTTCTCACTTCCCTCCCTCGCTCGCCGCCGAGGTTGGTTTTTGGGTCGTGGCTCGGGTCTTCGGCGGCCTCTCGGGACGATCTGGGCAGCCCCGGAACTCCCTCGGCGAGGCGCAGCTGCTGGCAAGCATCCCGAGGATTGGAAAACCGCCGCGGACCGACGAAAACGGCCGGACACCTCGAACCTCGGGCCCGAGACTCCTCGAACACCTTCCCTGGAGACAAGACAGCACTTCTCAGAAGGCGCGAGGGCTTCCGAGAAGTCCCGCCGCCCTCTGAGGAGGCTTGCTCCGTCTCCGTTCCCCCCCCTCTCGCTCGCCGCCGAGACTCGAGCGGCGCGGAAGTCAGGCTGCGCGCGGGCGGCGGCGCGCCCGTCCGTCGCCCCGCTCCTCGGCGCGGCGGGGGGGGGGGGGCAGGGGGCCTCTGCGCACGAGGCCGCCTCTGGGTCCACGTCGGGCGTGTCCCCTCTGCAGGAGGGGCCAGTATGGGGGCGATTTGTTTGACCAGTTCTGACATCTCTGTCGAGTGTGTCGATGTGTTGGACCAGTTCTGACGTCTCTGTCGAGCGTGTGTCACTTCTCCTCCAGGGTCCGCCGGCAGGAGGACGTGCCCGAGCGAACTCTGGGCCCGAGGGCGTAGGGGAGGCCTGGGGCGCAGGCCTCCGCTCAGGGTGCAGGTTTCGCGTAGGGGGGCGATGACAACATTCATATACGTGTATATATACATACATGCATACATGCATGCATGCGTACATGTATACATGCATACATGCATGCATACATACATACATACATACATGCATACATACATACATACACACATACATACGTACGTACGTACGTACATACATTCATACACACATACATACACACATGCATACATACATACATACATACATACATACATACATACATACATCCATCCATCCATCCATACATACATACATACATACATACATACACACATACACACACATACACACATACGTACATACATACACACATGCATACATGCATGCATGCATGCATGCATGCATGCATACATACACACATACATACATACATACATACATACATACATGCATGCATGCATGCATGCATGCATGCATGCATGCATGCATACATACACACAAACATACATACATACATACATACATACATACATCCATCCATCCATACATACATACATACATGCATACATACATACATACATACATACAGATGAACATATATAGATATATATATATATATACATATATTAACATAACCCAAGGCTGGTTTTCTCGTCGAATCAACAGAAGTACGTACAGCGCCCGTATATCTACGAACATTATACGCGTGTTGCGTAGATGCAAGGAACAGATCAATTCGGAGGTGAAACAATTCTGTAGTTGACCCCCTACTCGAAGGTTTCGGGTCTGGTGATGGGGATCCGTGGCGCGCAGGGTCTGGGGCTTTCGGTGTGAGGTTTAGGGTTTAGGGCAAACCTCTGCGATCGCACACACAGCGAACCGACTTGGGCGAGCGACTCAATCGGCTCCAGCTAAATGGCCGACGGGCGACTCTCCAGAAGATTCCGGTTATGTCAAGTCGACTCGAGTGGATCATCGGCGCGCAAAGAAAGCGAAACGAATCCGCACCCCTCGTTTCCATCCACCACTCTCCCGTGCCCCCGCTCCCCTGTCCTCCGATTCACCCTGGCTCCCCTCCTCTTTTCCCGCCTCGGACTGGGTGGCGCTGGGGCCCTGTCATGAAGAGGCCATGACCCGATTGCCACTTACGCCACCAGTCGAGCCCCAAAGCCGAGCATCCTGACCCTTCACCGGGGGCGAGAAACACACATTGCAAGGATGAGCAGCGACCGAATCTGGGAGATATGTACCTCATACGTCGTGCTGATGATCTACTTCATCGTGCCGATCTGAAGGACGTAAGTGTAACGCTTGGTCATCGGGTAACGCTTGGTCCTCTCTTCTCGCCTCGTCTCTCCCCCCACTTCGCTCCGCTTCTACCCATGCTCCCCCCGCCCCCCATGTCCGCCGGTCCCCGCGCCCCCCTGCCCCCCTGGCCACCTGCCCTCCTCTGCTCCTTCCTCCCCCTCCTGACTCCCATCCCTTCCTCCTCCCTGCCCCCCTCCCCCTTCTGCCTCCCGTCCCTCTTCCCTCCCTTTCCCCTTCACTTGCCGTCCTGGCCCCCCTTGCCTCTCTCTGCCTCCCTGCCCCCCCCCCTCTCACCCCTTGTTGCCCTGCCCACCTGCCTGTCCCGCCC